GAAATAACACAGCAATATTTTAAATACAAATAACAGACAAAATAAAATTTTATAGAGTTGCTACAAAGAATTTATATCTCAAGATTATGAAGAGAAAAATGTCTAAACTACAATATAAGTGATAAAAATAAATTAATGAGACAGAAAAAATTGTTTTATTTATACTAAATTTATTGACATCGAATATTTGGAGAATTTATTATTTAAATAAGTATTAATTAGACTAAAAAGATTTTATTAAGTTATTATATTTCATGAAATACTGATTAATTTCATAGAATAAAGCAGTATAACAGTAAAATCTTATACATTGAATATTTCATATACAGTGTATATTATAATTACAACGCCTGATAAGACTCAACTTAGTAACACATATTCTCTTACTTTCTTTTAATTAATTGATCTCTATATCAAATGTCTTATATCATTGATAAAATTAATCTATTTTATCAATATAAATGGCAAATACTTATAAGAGCAATTATTGTAGAACATGGAAGTGCTCATGGTCATTCGCATGGTATATCTCGAAGTCATAATAGATTGAGCACTTTGGTAGGCACAGATGATAATGAAAATGATGAAGCTTATAGACCTTCAACAGTTTCACAAGTAAAACGAGCGCATGGTCATTCTCACGATGCAAGTCAGATGAACATGCGAGGAGTATTTCTTCATGTACTTTCTGATGCATTGGGATCTGTCATTGTAATTGTGTCTGCCCTAATTGTCTGGCTGACAAAATGGAAATATAGGTGATTGTATATTATGTATTTTCTGTAAATTGTATAAATATCAAAGAAATGAACATACACAATTTAGAATTTCTTGATGTTTTCCTTTATAGATTCTACATTGATCCTGCATTATCGCTTTTATTAGTCATTCTCATCTTGCGTTCAGTGTGGCCGTTACTTCAAGAATCAGCTTTGATTCTACTGCAGACTGTGCCAACTCATATTCAGGTAATAATAATAAGAAATACTTTTAAGATACGCACACACTCATTTTTAAATTATCTATTTACATATTTATTTGTGCAGGTCGATGCTATACAGCAACGTTTGTTGGAAAACGTAGATGGAGTATTAGCTGTACATGAGTTTCATGTATGGCAATTGGCAGGTGATCGTATTATAGCTAGTGCGCACATAAGATGTAGAAATCTTTCAGAGTATATGAAAATTGCCGAACAGGTTAAGGAATTTTTCCATAATGAGGGTATACATTCAACAACTATTCAACCAGAATTTATTGATGTAAGTAAAGTATAGAATATAGTGTTGTATATAGTGTTGTAAAAGTCTATAGGCATATATATAACACGTAGAACAGAATTTAAATATAAAAACATTGCAACGAAAAGCGCAAGAAACTAAGCGAAAATTTATACATGCAATTTTAAGCAATAATTTTTTCAGGAAGATTTAAAACTGATTTTAAATGCTCATAAATCATATAATAAAAAAATCTCTGTGAATCATACATTTTATGTAAAATTATTCCGCCGACTTGTTTAGCGTTAATGATACATAAATTGTGCAATTTACTAAGATTTACTGCGTGATTCATAGATACATGATACTTTAATAGATCATAATTCATGATTGATTTTAATGTAAATTGATTTAATGTTATTATGTACTTTTAATACGCATTATAAACATTCTTTTATTATTCTAGTATCATTCTAATAGCGAAATTAAAGAAACTCCCACAGAAGATTGTGTGCTGGATTGTCCAAAGACTGATAAGCCTTGCAATCATGCGACATGCTGTGGTCCTTCCAAACAAGTAAGTGCCATATTATAAATTCTTTGTTCTTGCGTCACTCATCATTCTTTTGTTCTTCGATTCTCTAGTACATGGAGAGAGATACAAATTCTTGGTCCATATATCCTAAATCAAACTTTGGATTAGAGGAAATAAAATCAGAATCAAATACAACTATAGATCGCGATAGTTCGTCTACTACATCTGGGAATATAAATTCTGTACTTCATCCATTTGAAAGTACAAATTTAATTTATCTGTGAAAGAAAAAAATATTTTATATGATGAAGTTTCAGTTATTACCTGCTTTATATTTAAATATTATTTATTTAAATATAAAATCAAATTACAATAAAATTGGTATAGACAATGATGAAAACAAAATTATATGTAAAAATTATATGTAAATCATATTTTTACATTTGTTTGAATAAAATAAAAAAAATTGGTATACACATACTACTGACATATGATAAACATATATTAAAATCGCATATATTAAAATCAGTTTCTTTTATACCTTGTTTTATTCATTGATGTTACTGATAAAGGTTTGTAAACTTATAGACAATAACTTGTATAATACAGGGTCGTGAAACTCCTTCACCTGGGGAGACACCGTACATGTGTAGACAACGTAATAGCCTGGCACGTTCGACCGGTTCTATAGGAGGAATAGAGCAACAAGAAGTGAATGAAATGGAACGCGGACACTTGTTATCACTGCCCGCTTCACATCCAACATCGTTCCACTCCGTCCAAGTTCCCCACCCTCATGTTAATACACCAACTGTCTAAGCTCTCATTGCATTATTAAATATCTACCTCCATAGTAAAATATGCAAAATGCGTTACGCTTTATTGTACAAATACAATAAACGTGTATTTAGAATTTATTAATTTCACTGTTGATGGCATTGGTTGAACGACCAATATTGCATATATTGCAATATTGTGTATATTAAAAAATTAAATTAAAATGAAATTAATTAAATTGAAATGAAATTAATTTTATGAATCGAAGTCATTAATAATTATTAATAATTATTTTTCTTTCTTTCTGAGACAACTTAGGAAGCAATTGATTTGTTTCTTTATTTTTTATTTTAATTTTTTATCTTTGCCATCAATTTACTTATAGAAAAATAGTTAAGATTCTTGATAATAAAATCCCAAAGGCATATTAATACCAAATATATTACGTTATATGCTCTATATGCTCTGATATAAATAATAAATATTGAATTTTTACTCTGAATTTCTTAGAAGACATTTTAGAATTACAAGACTTTACAACTGTATAATGCATAATTTATCATATAAAATCATGTAATCTAAGTTAAGTATTGTTTAAATCTCACTTGTACATTGACATCGTGATTTTATAGTGATTTTGCGAAGTTCTTTATTTATATATAATTTTTATTGTGTATATTATAATACATAATTTTATAAGACAGGATGCAGTTTATAAGTAAGAGTACCAAATCTCTTCGTTATACTTATTTTTTTCATATAAGTCTTAAGTGTATATATTTTTTATGTATTGTAGATTTAAACAATTATAAAAGAAAAATTACAAGTTGTGTATTAATTGTTAATATATTCCATATAAATTTGCAATTTTAAAAACAGAAGAAATCTTGAAAAATATTTCTTTTTTTGCAACTAATCTTAGAAAATTTTTTATATAAATTTAGATAATATGAAAAATTAAAAGATTCAAGAAATTCAGTGAAAGAAGAGATTGTTGGTATCTTTTCTTTTTTAAGGAGGGACCATTTTAAACGTAACAAAATAATGTAATAAATCACTGATCAAAAATTACTCGATAAATATTCAAATTTACTTTTTAAGTAAAATAAATTTATAGTTTATGCACACAAAAATTTTTGTTATTAGTTCGTTAGTAGTTCGACTGTTGTTTCAAAAATTATGAATAATCAGTATGTAATAATGAAGATTAAATGTTTTTTAGAAATTCAGTAAATAAAATTAAAGGAATAACAGTCGCTAAAACCAAGGCCTGCCTAATCGAATGATGTCTGAATTATCTATTTTCTCTGAATATTTCGATCTACATATATTTATATATTTTTTGTTTAATTAATTTTTATTAAGATATGTTGTACATTTTTAAATTATACATTTTATGTCGCTTGTTGTATAATCCAAGAACGGAAATTGAACACATCAGTGTATACACCAGGTACTTCTGCATTTGCACAACCTATACCCCATGTCACTAATCCGACAACTTGATAGGGCCCGTTATTTGTTGAACACACCAGCGGTGAACCTCCATCGCCCTTTACAGAAAATTTATAATATTAATTACAACTGATTAATTGATTTATTACAATTAACTATAATTGATTTATCATGATTGATAATTTTTCAAGTATTCGAATCAATGATATGATTATAATCAATAAATTATTTTTGAGAGATATTCATATATTTTTTTCAAATAATCAAAATGCTTCACTTTGTACTCGTCGCGATTAGGCGATATTGAGAACAAAGTATTTGAGTCTCCTTCAAAAATAATTTGAATCCCAAAGAGTTAATATATATTTAATATATATTAATATATATTAATGCGAGCAATTCATCATCCGTATTACTATTCATATTTAATGGGAGACAGAATATTGTTTTTTTCTTACAGTGCATGCATCTTTGCCAACTTCGCCTCCTGCGCACATAAAGCTACTGCTCAAAACAAAGAAGTCACCAAGTCTTGTCTTTTTCCGTAAGGCCGTTTGACAATCCGCTGGACTTATTACAGGCACATCTACCTCTTTCAGACTTCTTGGATACATTCCGCTATTTCCAAAGGCATCTTTTCCCCAGCCTGACACCCAACATCTTCAAAATTTTATTTAAAATATTTACAAAATTATTTGTTGCAAAATTAGAATATACTTAAGGCATTTCAATGCTTAACATAAAATACTTAATATAAAAATTAATATAATTGGAGTGTAATATATAAACAAAAAACAAAGATTATTATGTATTTGTTGATAGATTGACAAAAATTTAATACGGCGAAAATTATAAGCGATTTTGAATATATTAATTATACATGCCTTGTTCCTGCAGCAGTTGCTGCAGATGGCAAACATGCCGTATTAATGTTAGGACTGGTTGCAATCGGAGCAGCCGAGCTTAGTTTAAGTATCGCTATATCGTTTTGAAGACTTTGCGGATTATATTGCTCGTGTAAAGTCACTTTTGAAACGGAAATCTCCACATACGGATTAGGTTCAGTGGTAGCTTGAGCGTTCCCTTCCAATTTTAAAGAACCCAATCTTACTTTGAGGTTATTTCTATAACATATTTTTAATAAATTTAATAATTTTTTTTATACATATATAATAATTTTTAATATACTATAAAGTCTGATTAAAATCTATATTATATAATATAATATTAACGACAATTGTATTAATTCTTTTGAATATCTAAAAAGATATAGTAAGAGACATTCTTCAAGAATTTGGGCACATGATGCTTACGAGGTGCTATAATTTGCTACTTTATGAGCAACAGTAAGAACATGCGTTGCACTGATAAGCACTCCTCCTCCGACATAACCGTTATTATTTTTAGTCAAAAGGGCTACCATCCAGGGATATGCACCATAAACAGCTTGTCCTACCGGATCCGTGGAAGGTGCGATTTTTCGAATACCGCAAGAAGGATCATTAATACCTCCACCTCCACCTCCACCTCCACCTCCATTAGACGTACAACACAATATATATCCGGCAGGACAACTTATTCCCTAAAAATACAAAATTGCTATTAATATACCACTTATATTACTATGCAATCCTCAAATAACATGTTCAGTATATAATTCAATTTTTAATTTATATTAAATCTTTTGTAAATGATCTTTTTTTTCTATAACGTATACTTGGCGCATTCCTCGATTTTTTTTTTTAAAGATAAATTTTCATAGATTATTTATACAGAATTTATTTATAAATGTATAAGATTAATAATTAAAATTTTCTATAGATATACATTATTATCTCAAAATAAAGTTTTATATAGAATTTATTTATATGTAGAATTCATAATTATAACTTTTTATAAACGTAATTATTTAAAGCAGAATTATTTGAAATGGAAGTGGAGAGTACTAGAATATTTTTATTTTATTGATGAATAAAAATATACCCTGTTTACAATTCTGATGTTAACGCCACCATCAGTGCCCGGGGGACAAATAATTCCTAGGATGCACTGACATTGTCGATTCACAATAGCGGCTATAAAAAACAAAATATGTCACAGAACATAAAGAAGTTAAATTACATATGTTAAATTAAAAAAAAACTTTTTTTTCATGTTTATAAGGTTTTGATAATAAATTGACATTTTGCTTGTCATATATGTGTAACACAATAAAATTATAGTTATTAATAAATAACTATAAATTTGAATATATATATTTATTTATATATTTTTTTTCAAATATATTACTTCTCCAAGTATTATTAACAGTCTTTCTGTCTCATATGCCTAATATGCAGTTGATAACTTTTATTGTCACTAATTTATTCTATTCTTTTATTTTTTATTATTTGTCAATTTTATGTGTTATTTTACACATCTTTTCAAATCTTATAATACAATAATTTATGTCTATAATATAATACATACTTGTTGGCGCTGTACTTTCAAAAATCATTTGTGCAGAGATTTGTTGCCACAGATGACATAATGACAACAAAAACAGCATGACACTAGTCATCTCTAAAGATTTAAAGTTTACAGAAAGTTGAGTTGAAAGTATGCACCCTCGCGAACGAAACTGACTCACAACAAATAAAACACGAAGTGTTGCTCACGGGATTTATATATTATGTATAGATGTATATACGGTGTTATTAGTTGTTATTAGTGTACATAGATGCATCAGTGTGCCACGAAGCGTTTTATACCGTTTCCGTTTTTCATAACTTTGAGAGAGATTATATTAGCTTGTTCATCCTACCGGATGAAATATAATGTATGACCTTTCATGGCGCGCTAGAAACGATAATTCTTGGTAATGACTCTCGGTGAACTCCCCGAGAGTTATCATGTGTAAAATATCTGGCACAATGTTGAAAAGAGAAGAGCAAATTGTTTCCGACAATAATTACGTACGTACGTGTGTAATCCGTAGCACGTGCGTAATACTAATAATAATACCTGACGATTTTTCCAACGGATCGAAATAGCAGCACGTCCACTTGATGCAGAAAGAAAGAGCAAGGCCATAGCAAGGCTGTGTCTCATTGACAAATAAACGATGAAGGTCAACAATCAGGACTCACCGGTGCGAACAAATCATGAATCACGCATCGCTGATCTCATTCAATATTAGATATAAAAATACATTGTTGTAAGAAATATTATTTCATGACCAGCGATAAATCATCTCGTTCTGATTCTGACATCTATGACAAAAAAGCTGTTATACGAAACAATGGATACTAGCGTAGAATCATGTTTACAATACAAAAAGCGATATCTTCTATGTATTTTAATGTATTTTAATAGCTTAATTCTAAATTTATTAGAAAAATGAAAAGTTCAATTTTTAAAGAACTTTGCTTAATACAAACAAGATATACGTAAAGCTGCGTCATCTACTAATGTAACAAAATTATGTGTAATAAATCAATTGCAATAGAAATTAGGAAAATCAATCAAAGCATTTGAAAAATATTTTTTCATTTTCCGATTTACTTCATACTTATGTGCTAAGATATGTTAAGATATAAATTAACAAAACTACTAAAATGATAAATAACTCTTCCATTCTTTCTTCATATAATTTATTTCCATAAATTAAAGAAATATGCCAGTTACAAACACCATTGCCTAAAATTCATTCCCTTTGCAACAATATAATAGAGAAAAATATAATAATAATAATAATAATAATGTTTATTCCAATTATTATTGGATTATGGAATGCTTATGTCATAACTCCTGTATTTGCAGAATTTAGCTGACGTGTTTCATGAGTTCACAATATGTTAGCGCGACCACATATAAAAATATGTATCCTGCATATATGGTAAATTTTGTTTCACAGCGCTTGCCAAATACTTGCCAAAAGGCACGGAAGTGGATATCGTGTTAAGCAACGCGTTTATTTTAGTACGACTGTACTCATCATAAAACGGTGATCTTAAAATGTATAATAACAAACTGAGTCTCCGACGTACAAGTTCTTCCTTCTCCCCTTTGCTGAATGTTTTTTGTGCACAACGAGTGAAAACATTTAAACTGCAAATAATAATAATTAAATATAAAATCATGCTTTATTAATTATCTTATAGCTCAGTAGCTCAGTATGCTATTTACCTGGCTATATCAATAATAAGAGACAATATCCATGGTGGCCAATGTTTCTGGCTCGTAATATATATACATCCAAGATGAAGCAATGGCTTTGTCACATAAAGACTCTAAAAGATATTTACTTTTAATATTATTTTTATTAAAATATAGTGATTTAAATAAAGTTTTTCAATAGAAAAGATTCAAAATAGTAATAATAATAATTTTATAATTTTTTAGTTTTAACCGAAGTACAAACTGAAAATATCTTCCTATTACAAACTAAAAATATAAACAAATATTGAAATACATATTGAATATACCGATTTATTAAAACACTTATGATTAATTACTTATGTAACAATACATACTAACATACTCACATACGTACAATACAGTACTAACTTTCAACCAACCTCAGCTAGTTTAAGATTTCTTTCAAATTCCTGGTTGTTAGTTAAATTTTCATTTTCATCTGTAATAGGAGGCAAAGCTTTCCATGTTCGCATCTCTATAGGAGTTGAATATTTTATACTTCTAACAACTGTCCCTGATCTTTTTAGCATAAAACCTTCCTTTAGTTGCATGCTATCAATGGTTTTATTAAAAAATTTTTCTCTATTAAGAGGAGGTGTCGCTGGACTTTTCGTCATTCGTTCCTTATATACATGGATTAACAATAATCTTAATATGGTTCTAAAATGAACAAATATTAGTAAAAAAAAAATCTTAATATATATTTCATTAAAAAATATATTATCATTTATGTTTGTTTTATTGTTGTCAAAGAAAATGGGACAGTGAATGCTTACTTAAACAATTGTATAACTATGATTATTAACCACTTTCCCTTTGGTCCCCATAATTTTTTGGCGGACACTTCGAGCAGTGCCTCAGTATATTCTACCACTGTCAACCAAACTTTAATCTTTGAATCAAATTGAGGTATCTTCAGATGTTGACTTTTGCTACTGTACATAAGCAAGTCATTGCAGAATACAATCAGATTTGGCATAGAATAAATTAATTCCACGGCCAAGCTCGAATTGCGCAATTGTCCTGTGAAAAACATATTTAATGTTATACATGGCAAATAATGACAATAAAGTTTGACAGATCATTTTCTAACCAAAACTGAAGTATGACAAACATCTGACAGTAGCCTCGATATCTGACAGTATCTGCGGATTTGCTACAATCCATTTTTTGTAAGATGTTAATAAATTGTTTAATGTAGAATTAATACGGTTTGCCATCTCGTAATTATATTATTTTAAATTTTTATAACAAAATCTCCTAGAAATGTTAGATTTAACTTTTCTCATCATTAGGACATAAATTATATCGAAATCATATCATTAATCTAGTTTCCACCAAGCTTTAATATTCGCTCTTTGTGAAATAAAGGTTCGTTTACAATAGAAGCCTTAAATCGTAAAAAATTGACCAATCACAGTTGAATGTGAGGAGAATAATCGACTATGATTGATCAATTTCTTATGGTCTAAGGCTTACTACTTCTATTGTAGACAGATATTAAAGTTCATGTCCACGATGCTAGAAATCGATCCGAGATCTCGCAAGATTGGAAAAAGAATTGACCAATCGCATTGAAATATCAAGAGAAATAAAATTAATAAGATTAAGAAGAAATTAATAAGAAGTAAATATACATATCTAATAAATATTAGGCTATCAATAAATCATAACATATGTTTTGAATATTAATATTAAGATTATAAACTATTCAAATTTTATACTAATTTTATAAATTTTATACTTTCGTAAGATTATTGACTTTTAATAGTAGTTTGTTGATGGTCCGCTTATTACATTGTCCGCTTGGTGTCTATCATTTTGATGTATTTGATGTCACAGTTATTTCAATTAAGTAAAAATCGAGTTTATATTTATGCTTAAATTAAAACCTCATTAAATTTTCATGTAAAAGATTTTGCAAATAACTGCATAACTTCAATTTTTTAATATTGATGACTGCGAAGAATTTATTATTAGGTTTAACTTCACCGATTTCGATAAAATCAAATTAACAATGAGTCTCTCTAATTCTCGATAGCGATTGTTGACGATACGTTTCTTATATAAGAACGAAACACAGCTCAGTATTTTAGAGATGTTTCAAAATTCAAATTGGTTATTGCAACTCTCTAATGTTATTGTGATAAACTATATAGAATTTTAATAATCAAATAAAATTTGGAATATATCTTCCCGATGGTCTGTTATTACTCAGAGAAACCTTACATCTTGGCCATCTTCTTCCGCTTTGTTGCGATCAATTTCCATCGTAATTTTAAAGCCATTAAAGCTTTTCCACCAGCTTTACGCAACAAAAAATTATCGCTTAAAAAAAAAATCATTGCTTTATTAAAAAAAAAAAATTCATCCTCATACGTCATCATCTATTGTGCGTTATTGGCTTAACTAACGATTATAATGTCAATCATTAATTATTTGGATTGAAGATCGCACTTGAATTCCTACTTTGACTTGTGATTATCATCATTACTTTGACAAAATTGGCTTTCACTTCTGTTCCGTTCAATTCTGCTCATTCTAATTTCAATTGTTTATCAGAAAACATACAAACATAATTCCTTGGACTTCCAATGAATGAGGCAATCATACGTATCTAGGCTTCAAATACATATACATATGAAATGTGTACATTTCACATATGCACATTTCACATGTATATCGCATGTGCATATATAGTATATGTACATGTATTAAATGTTTATATGTTGGATTTTAAATGTTGAATGCTGAATGTAAGATGTTGAATATTAGAACATAAAGAGAGAGAGAGAGAGAGAGAGAGAGAGAGAGAGAAACTAAAGTTATGCAGTAAGAACTTCCAATATGAAGCTATGTCTTTAGATGTTATTGGCTTGATGCAGCGCTCGCTGAAGCAATAACGTTGACCATCCATTTTACAGTTATAAACACTTTTTATTTTTTTTTTAACAGTAGTTATAATTTCAAATTTTTCACAAACACATTAGCATATCTTCATTTTAATTTAATCATATTTTTTTATGGGTTTTTAACAAAAGTTAAAACAGTTGTTAACAAAAGTGTATTATTTTTTTAATGACGAAATTTAAAATTTGCATGTATTGATAAAAAAAATCAAGTACACGCGTATTTTTGCATAAAAAAGATTTTTTGTACAAAAGATTTGATCTAAAACGATATTTTTTCCATTGTAGAATCTAATGGATGAGGGACGGATGATTTCACGGAGTGAAAAAGTGTAGAAAGTTCAACGGCGAAGAACAAGTCTGTTACGAACCTATAACCTTAATAATCACGTGTAGTCGCATGGTATTTATGTTTTGTATGAAAAATTGACATCCAATTTAAACATACAATATATAAATACATTAGCTTTTAACGTATTTTTTAATTGTATTATAAAACTATGACTCCACATACAAGCGAGATAGACAAAAATATAGAAATTAAACTTTTGACTTAATTCTAAAAATGAAGGTACGTTATATTATAATCACAATTGCTATGTCTTTGATTTTTGACAATTTCTAGCACTTTAAATTTACATAATTTATTGTTTTTAATTATATCATTATATACAAAAATGATTACATATATATATATATATATATATATATATATATATATATAATATGTTAATTATTGTATTATATATATATATATTTTTTTTCTTTAAGAAATTTCATATTTTTATTTTTTTAGTTTCAGATTTACCAGATATTATAGATGACATATTAAATGGCCAATATAAAGATGTAATAAATAAACTTCTTATATTTATCAAGCCAATAAAGAATGACGATAGCTTAGAAGAAATTATATATAATAGTTCATCTGAGGCTGATGTACATTTATTATGGTTATGTACAGGAATAGCTTCATTATTACATTTTGTTCAATGTAATTGGACAGGTCCATGTACTGATAAGGATATTGATTGGTTGAAAATTAAAAGAGATGAAGCACTCAAAGATTTATCTTTGCATGATGGGTGTAATATAAATGTACAAAAACCAGAGCTTCTTTATTTGTCTAAGAAAATATTTTCTAACATGAATCTACAGCTTAAATATAGAAGCTGTCTTTGGTGGCTGTTTAGAACTATTTTGTTGCATCAGCATATATTAGATGAAAACTCAGGTATATTATTTGAGGAAGTCGAGAATCTTATAATGGAAATTAATAATTTAGATATATTAAAAGAAGATCCTCTTTGCAAGCTTTTATTCAATCTAGAAACTGCTAGATTTTACTTGTACTATAGAAGAATACAAAATTCTGAGGAACATCTTGAATGTGCACAAAGAATAGCAAGCTTAAGATTAAATTTAGAAGGTGCAATGGGAAAACGTACTAGGTATCAACAAGAAGAAAAAGCACAATTATATCTGAATATAGAGATGGATAAAGATATTTTTCCTTCAATAAATTGTGAGCATGTACCAAAATCTGTAAATTTAAATGATGAGTTAAGATTGGAACATATTGAGTTTTCAGACTATAAAGAAGAGATTAAATTGGGTGCAGTAGAAGAAGCAATAATTTTAGCAAAATAGTAAGTATAATTTATATATCTATATATAAATTATGGCTAATAAAAGTATTATAGAAAGATTTTAATAGTTAATAGTGTTCAATTGCAGCTTTGTCAACCCAAGCACAAACTCACTGACGAAGAAATCAGACCCTATTTAATTGTAAGCTACAATATTAACATTGCATTTTATATTTTGTCATTAATAAATACTATTAGAAAATATTTATTACAGAAAGTTGTAGAGAATACAAAGAATTGGTCATTAAAAATGACTTCTTTGTACTATCGTTGCTTATTGGAATCTGATGACAAAAGAACTGTTGAACGATCTATGATGCAAGCAGAGTCTTTACTAAAAGATTATAATGATATAAAAGCACCTGTAGCCAGAAGAATGGATTTATTTTTTGCGAGCGGTATGAAACCTATTTGGATATTGGAAGAGAAATGGGCTAATATAATGTTCAGTCTCGGTTTGGTGAAAGGAGCTTTGGAAGTCTTTACAAAGCTAGGATTATGGGAGAATGTGATTACTTGTTACAACACGTTAAATTTGAAACACAAGGTATTTATATCTTATATTAATTATATAATATAATGTAAAAATTAAAATATAATAATCTGCAAACGTTATCAGGCAGCTGAAATTATTAAGCAAGAAATATCTAAGAAGTCAACGGTGAAATTATGGTGTCTATTAGGAGATGCAACTGGAGATGTGAATAATTATGAAAAGGCATGGAAATTATCCGAAGAAAAAAGTAGTAGAGTACAAAGACACTGGGGATTTCATTATTTTGCAAAGAAAGATGTTAGTTCGTGAGCTATGAATTTAACATAATATTTTTATTCAAATCTTTAATGTGTGATATTTACCTTTTATATTTTTAGTATGCTGAGGCTGTACTACATTTGAAATTATCGGCCGAACTGAATAATATTCAAGAACTTGTGTGGTTTAGGCTAGGATATGCAGCATTGCAGATAGAAGATTGGAAGTTAGCTGCTATGGCGTATAGACAATATTGTACTTTAGAACAATCTGTATGTATATATACAGATATTTCTGATATTATTTTTTTCAATTGATAAATTAAACAAAATTTTTATTGTAAAATTATTATGAAATTGCAGACTTTCGAAGCATGGAACAATTTAGCAAATGCATACATAAAATTGGGAGATAAATCAAGAGCTTGGAAATCTTTACAAGATGCCATAAAATGCAATTATGATCGTTGGGAAGTATGGGACAATTTAATGGTTGTAAGCATTGATTTGGGATATTTTTCAGAAGTAAGTATTTATTTGACAATTTTCTACGAAAATTCTTTGTTAAACTATTTAAACTGATTTTAAGATTAATAGATTTTTAAATCATTTGTATTATTATATTTGTAGTATTGTTTGTATTAGACATTGAAATTTTTGTAACTATATCTTTATAATTATTTAAATATTTTTTAACTGTTTTGGTTTGTGTAGGTTATTCGATGTTACCATCGTATTTTGGACTTGAAAAGCAGTCATTTAGATGTTGAAGTTCTTCAAATATTAACAAATGCTATAATAAATAATATTAATGATGTGGAAGGAAATCCAACATCTCGTTTACTTTCAAATAGCTTGGAATTATTTGGAAGAATTACTTCTAATGTAGTTAATAATCCAGATATTTGGAGAATGTACGCTCAACTTGTCATATTGAGAAAAACGGATATTGACGAAGAAAAAGCGGCACAGTATCTACAACAAGCGTATCGTTTTGCCACTTCAAATCCAAAATGGTATCACAGTGAAGATACAACTTTAAATGTATTAGAGTTATGCTGCAATTTAGCACAAGCATATTTATATTGTGCTACTAATGTCGGAATTGTTAAGAAGAGAAAAATGTTAGGGAGCGCCAAATTATCTCTTCAAGGAGTTGTGAAAAAGATCAAGGAACAAGAATGGAATAATACGAATATCATTGAACAATTAATGAAAATTGAAGAGTACTTAACAACTATAACAAATGAATTGGAACAAATAAAACCTACATAATAATTATATTACATATATCAATATATCTCATATAAGAAATTATTCAGCTACAAAAAACTTTATGACAACAGCAATGCAAGCGATTTTAATAAAACTATTCAGAGGATAAATGCATTTTTTTATTCGTATGTGTTATACAATTAATTATTGTTATATAATTAATTATCAATTATCAATCATATGATATTATTATATATGCATAAGTTAAAATAAAATGTCATGTTATCTTAATAATAAGATAACAAGATAAAATTTTTTATATATAAAAACTTATAAAAAATAATTTATTGCATTTTTTATGTATATTTTCAATTCAAGTTCTTCAAATTGGTTAAAATTTTAAAGAATTTAAACATTTGTTAAATTTTATAAATAAGTTTCTAAAAATTAAATCCTTTTGATATTTCTCTTTCTCTCTCTCTCTTTCTCACTCTCTTCAATGTTAATATGTTTTTCGAATCCAAAATTGAAAAATTTTAAAATAAATTTAAAATAATTTTTAATTAAAAAAAATTAATTTGAGATCGATTCATTGTCAGTTCTGTCTCCTTTTATTTCATAGTTTTTCTTTATCACTTTCTCTGTCTCTTTTTTTATGCTTGATTCGATTTAGAGCCTACAAATTAAATACACAATTAATAAATAACATGTGCATACATTACTTTTACACTATTTTATCTTCTATACGTTATATAAAATGTACATACACATATATTTTAGTCTTTAGATAAAATTATGCAAATAAAAGATAAAGCGAGTGCATCACATCGGAGTCAGTGTTAAGAAATTCTAAAATTTTGATTGAAAATATAATTTTCGATATATACTAGTTATTTTTTTAAATATATAATATTATTTTGATTATTTAAAATTTGATTATTTAAGTTTTGATTATTTAAAAAATTAAAATTTTTAATGTCATAAAAATTTAAATTTGTGAACGAATAAAAAAGCTTCCTCCTTACTTTTAAATTAAGATCCCGAAAATTTGTTGCATAGTCCTGTGTTTAAATTATTATTGTATTTATTTTTATCATCGATTTTCAATGTATTGAAAATTTAAAAAACTATTATATACTATCTATAAGTTATTTCTATTATTGCAGTATTAATAATAAGATATAACCGCCTTGTTTCAAAAAGGCTAAGAATGCTCTTTTTCGATATTTCTT